CAAAAACCATGCTTCTCTAGATTCTAAATTTGAAAGCATAACATGTTTTCTTGGGGTAGGATCTATTGTAGTTAGGCTGAGAGAGGAACCCAGTTGCCAGGACATGCCTTCAATCACCTCCACCCCAGCCCCAAGATTAGTTAACTGATGCATAGGTTGTACTAATTTGAACTAACTGTACTAATTTGAGGCCATGGATTGTGCATAAAGTAGTTCCACATGGCATCACTTCGACTGGGGACAGGTCTGCTTTTCGAGCTTGGCCTGCTCAAGGGCTGCAGGCTTGTCCCGACCAGGAAGGCACCTTCTCTGAGGACAGAACACGCTCCCTGAAATGGGGCTGATCTTAAAAAATCCAGGATGAGAGGTGGGTCAGCCAAGGCTCCTCCCACCTGCCGAGCAACCAGTGCCTTTCCTCTTATCACCTCCATACCTACTCCCTGCCCCCTGCAATCAACAGCCATTACCTGACAAAGGATTTTTAAGCTGCCAGCCTGAATGTTGTACTGTTAGAGTTTATGAAGGGCCGTTTTTGGTGGCTTGAGGAAACTGTATGTCTGAATATTTGAAAATCCAGGATCCATGCTCAGCTTGAGTATAGTTTGGCTTTTCGTGAACATGAAAAGAAGGGTGAGAAGGAGCAAAGCCATTTCAGCAACTTAGGACCAAGAATGTAGCAGTGTTTCTCAATTGGCATTATTGACATTTGGGGCCATATAATTCTTTGTCATGAGGATTGTCCCCAAGACATTGTAGGATGCTTAGTGGCATCCCTCACCTCTACCAGTAGACACCAGTAGCAACCCCAGTTGGGGCAACCAGAAATGTCTCCACATTTTGCTAAATGCCCTGCCCCACCCCGGGAGGCAAAATCACCCCCAGTTAAAACATACCAGAGAATAATGGGCATTTCTGACGATGTTGACAAAGGTCTCATAAAGAACAACTTAAAGGAGTGGGTATTGAATAGAAACCCAAGATTTGTAGTGAAAGGCATTTTTGACAGAGAAGTTTGAGAATCAGCATGAGGCTTGATTATATGGTGAGAGAAGGTGAGAGGAATTCCCAAAAGCATCTAAAGACAAAGGTTAAGGCCTGTGAGTCTGCTGGCATGGTGAGTGCCTTGAGTTAAGTAAACAGCAGTGTCTGGGTCAGAGGGAAAATTCAAGACTACAGGATACTCAGACGCTAAAAGGAAAGGGAATCAGAAGATGGTGCGTTGAAATGTGACCACCTGCTTGTTACTTTCTGTGTGACCACCTGTGAGATTATGATTTATAATAAGGAATATATATTTCATCTTTGTCCCTTTGTGGCACAGAGCTCCCAAAACCTTTGGAATTTCCTGAGTGATAAGAGAATGAGAGCATCTTGTTACAATATTTGGCCTCTTGTCCTTACTTCCTGAAATCTCTTCAGAGCCATAAAGGTGAAATGAGTGTCTTGTTATTCATAACAACTCCCTTTCAACTACACCTGAGTTTATGTTAATGAGGTGACTTTTGGAAATCCCCTAAAGATGGGGAGGGGACTGGTTGCCAGGGGAAATGATTAGAGGCTTGTTCAGTCCCAACCCTGACCTCCTGGAAGGGGAGTTCCAAATCAAATAACCAGTGATTTGATCAATCCTGCCTAAGTAATGAAGCCTCCATTAACACCCAAAAGGAAGATGGCTTGGAGAGCTTCTGGGTTGGTGAACACGTTTAGGGAAAACGGTGTGCTCCAAGGGGGTATGGAAGCTCAGAGCCCTTTCCCCATGCCTTGCCCTATGCATCTCTCCATCTGGCTGTTCCTGAGTTATCTAATAAGTAAAATGTTTCTCTCAGTTGTGAGCTCTAGCAAATTANTCTCTCTCTCTCTCTCTCTCTCTCTCTCTCTCTCTCTCTCTCTCTCTCTCTCTCTCTCTCTCTTTACTCCTCTTCCCATCTTTATCTTATCAAAACCACCACCCAACTCAGGAAGGAGGCAGGAAAGCCTTATCTAACATTAATCGCTATAGCATTATCTAACAGCTAGAGCACACAGTCTTAAAATCAGACAGACCTGGGTCTACAGTCCAGTTTTCCTACTGCGTGATCTTGAGCAAGTCACTTAGCCTCACTGAGCCTCAATTTCCCATCTATAAAATGAAAATAATTATCCCAGAGGGTCACCATAAGGATTAAATGAGAAAACAGAATGCTTGGCACATAATTCTCTCTCCATAATGATCGTTATTGGCATGCTGCTGTGCTCAGAGCTCACTGAGTAGTGACTATATAGTATTCTGTATACAAGAGGTGTTCAGACATTGCTTTTTTTTTTTCCCCCCTTCCTCTCTAACAGGTATTCGTCAGTTGCAGCTCATCCTATTCAAGGTGGCCCTGATATTGGGAGTTGAAATCCATGTGAATGTGGAGTTCGTGAAGGTTCTAGAGCCTCCTGAAGATCAAGAAAATCAGAGTACAGTATAACTTTCCTTTTCTGTCTAGAAATCACATTTGCAGGTCTCAGAGGATGTTTCTGTAAGAGTTATTCTTATTGGGGGCATAATTCCATCAAAAAATATTTTACCTTTTTTGACCATTGCCAGTGCTGTCACTTTAGGTTTGTTCTTTAGCTCCCAGGGGATTTATTATTAAGCCATTAAACCTATAATTTGGTTACCCTGCCACTAGGAGGCAGTGTTTTGACAAATGAAGTCTAATCAGGAAGTAGGACAGAAGACATAGATTTGGTTGTCTGATAAAAGTTCATTCACATGTTCTTCAAGTTGTGCATGTACACACATAGATATGTGGATACATTTGTAGCCATATGCTGTTTATAAAATCCAGTAAAGAAAGTGTAGTTTCTATACCAAATGTGAAATAGATGTTCAAAATATTATTTGGTGTACAATATTTTAAAACTTTATTAAACTATAATTTGCAAACCACAAAATTCACCCATTGACGTTNCCAAATTCATTCCTCTGCCTTTATCTGAGTTTAGAACTGCCTCCCCAGGTCTACTCACTTTATTTAGAGCCCCATTCCTGCTTTTTCTCTCTTGCTTACTTCTGCCATTCACCCACCCACCCGGGACCTCCTGCCCTACAAAGCCCCATGGCTTCTCCCAGCAGCCCCAGGCCAGGTGGGCTCTCATCCCAGTGTGGTGTGGGCATCTGTCTGCTCCCTTTCTCAGGAGCCCACACTCCTGCTTGGGGCATCGACACCAGGCACTGCCTTCCTTGTATAGTGTCCACACTCACCTGTCACCTGACCCACCTCGGGTACTTGAAGCATGTTTGAAAACGGGGATTTTTGAGACCTGTCCATTCACTCTTCTCCGTCTCACCTTCACTCTTCATGGTGGGGAAAGTGATCACATGACTGTAGGAATAGGTATGAGAAAGGAAAGCCAATAACAGGAGCTCCAGCCTACACACCGTGACCTTACAAAAGGTCTTGGGCCAATGCTGGGTGCAGTTTGGGTGACGTGGTTTGGGTTTGGAAATATTAGAATTCCCAGAACAAAGTATTTGAAATGATGGTGATTGGGAAAATCGACCCGGCAGGTCACTCGGCAGCTGAGGCTGTACCGTCTAAGACCTTCATAAACGCTCTTCTGGTACCTTGGGTGGGCGCAGGATGCACTTCACCATAAGCTGCATCTTGTGCCGTTATTACTAGTGGTGACAAGAACTCCATTCATTGAGCAGTTCCCACGTGCCAGGCGTCAGGCTGGGCATTTTGTAACAGTCTCAGTTGGTCCTCACATGACTCTGTGAACTAGATGTTCTTATTCCCATTTTATAAGTAAGAAAATGAAAACACAGGAGAGTTCTATAACGTTTCCAAATGTACACAATCATTAAACAGTAGAAGTGAATTTGGCCTGTTGCTCTTGATGACCCCGAGCCCTGTGTTGGTCTTATACCTTGTATACACTGGTCCCTGTCTCTCCCCAGGGATGTGCACTTTCTGTGTGAGCTTTTGGGAAAGACAGTCTTTTTATTTCTTTAGCCACACAATGAACAGATTTGACCTTGGGAGACAGGCTTCCTATAGTTCCCTGCCAGCATCCCTCCAGGAGGGGTACTTTGGTCCTCTAGAGCAATGAACGCCGTGAGAGCCAAGCAGGGCCCTGAGTAGCCCTCTGCCTGTTCAGAAAAGGGGTCACTGATTCTGGGGAGAAAGTTTGAGTTCTGCCAAGTACCTATTTCTCTTCTGGTCTTGTTTGACCATTAGCTTTGCTTAGTCCATTATACAATCCCTCTTTTACTCACTCTTTTGTCATTTAATTTTACCGAAGTTATGAGAACCAGCGGTGTGAAATATGCTTCTACATTTGCTACAAGACCATTTTTGAGTCCATTGTTCATTACAACACAGTGTTCTCTGTTGAAATCCCTACATGAGACCATCCTTTTAGAATTTAGTGCCAGGAAAAACTTGCCTCCCCTTAGGAATTTCTATGCTTCCTTCTTTCTGATAAGGAGAGCACTGTAATATATCACATTTCCCTTTTGCCCCGGGTGCCAAGAAGCTCAAAGCCAAATGTGATGCTTAATCACAACTCTGTTAATCCTCCCAGACGGCTGATTTGGTTCCTCTTTATTCCCTTGGCCCTGATTTCCTATTTCTGTTTTGATGAGCCTCACTGTACACACCCACTCCAAGTTCTTCCTTCTGTGAAGAAGTGGGTATAAATGCTTGCCCTGTAGAGGGGCAGACTGCCTCACTGTGCCCCTGCTCTCCCCCCTAGGACTACATCGACACAGAGATGCTGCTGTGTGCAGAGAATGTGAATCAGGACAACCTGCTTTCTTACGCCCGGGAAGCTGCAGACTTTGCCACCAATTACCAGCTGCCATCTTTAGACTTCGCCATGAACCATTACGGGCAGCCCGATGTGGCCATGTTCGACTTTACCTCCATGTATGCCTCAGAGAACGCAGCCCTGGTGCGCGAGCGTCAGTCACACCAGCTGCTCGTGGCCCTGGTGGGCGACAGCTTGCTTGAGGTACTGCCTGCATTTGGTGCCCCTACACCCTGTTAGAAGACAGGTTCCTTTCCTGCATTTATGTTTTGGCTGGCAGCATCTGCTGTCATGCAGCTGATGGAAGGACAGGCCCTCAGCCATTTGGCAGGATTCCAGCAAGTCCATTCTGGCCTTGGAGCCTGCCCTTTCACTAAATTCAGAGAACAGCCAGTTCTGCCTATGAACTGGTGAGAGAGCTTTCTCTCCCACCTTAGGGTTCTTCGGGGCTGACCTCTTTGTCGAAGTACAAAATTAGGTGGCCCTGGTCTGGACGTCACGTCCCTTTTTCTCAGAGCACATGGACCCTCAGCTAGGCCAAGACTGCTCCCTCATGTGGGTGGATCTTTGTGGCCTTTCAACATAGAAATTGTATAGGAGGCAAGAAAGGCACGTGGGCCCAAAGTTCAGTGTCTGTCCTTTGCCTCCCTGGTCAAACTTCTTCCCAGAAAATTGGCAAATGCTAGGATCCTTAGGTTAAATAAATGCTTTCAGAGGGGATACATTTTTATCTTTACCGTAAGCGCCAACCAAAAAATGTTTCTGTATTTATCCCAAGTTAAGCCTCAAATTCTAAACCACACTTTGGGGGCACATGGAATGGTTAAGTTATAACTAAGCTTGGTGAATGAGTCCTAGCTCACCATTGTGTGTGGGCCGTAACCTAAGCTCCTGGGTTAAGCACTCAGAACCCCACCCCTGCACCCCACTTCTCAGGGTTACCACTCAGGACTCTGCTCCCATGACCTCAGCTATCCCCAAACCAGATGGACTGTTCTTCCATCAGGCTCCGCCATTCCCAGCCACCAAGCCTTTGCCCACTCTGTTTGTTTTGCTCACTACTCCTAAAAGGATCCAGATCAGAATACTGTTCGTCCTTTAAAATCAGCATAAATGCAGATCTTTTATGAAGCTTTCCCCTATTTCCATCNGGGACCCCACTTTGAGAACCACTGAGCTAAGCCCCTCAGGCATTGTTTTAAATGCAGAAAGCCAGTCAATCAAGTTTCTGCAATTGGTAGAAAGTGCAAAAAGATACAACCCAGCCCTCTAACCTGAGGGCTCCTCCCAGCGCATCTGGATTTTCACACACAGCAAGGAAATGGTTAGAAACATGGCTTCGCGTCGTCTTTGGAGAATTCCCTCAGCTCTTTGCACATCTGGCCATATGGAGAGTGTAGTGGGTGGGACTTGCAATCAGATAGGCTAGGGTTCAAATCCTGGCCCCGTTATTGCATGGCTGTTGCCCCGGGTAGCACTTGCTCAGCTCTCACTACTGGTCCACAGCCCCTAAGGATCATTGCATTTTAAAAGAAATAGTGTCTTAATCATATTGTAAAACATAAATATATCAAAGCAACATGTTGTACACCTTAAACTTACACAGTGTTACATGTCAGTTACATCTCAATTTAAAAGAAAAGAAATAGTGTCCTGTGGGACTGTAGAAGCTAGGCATGCTGAGGGTAAATCTTGGCACTCGAGTGTCCCTGTTCCAGCCTTGTATGTCTCCAACACTTGTCTAACATGCATATTCTGCAGGGATAGGAGGCAAAGTGGAGCTCCTGGCACACTGGCACTGAGGAAGTGATGCTGAGTGCGTGAACGCTTCTCTTTTCAGGGATTGATCTTGAGAACATTGTTTACTACAAGGACTGCACCCACTATTTTGTCATGACTGCCAAGAAGCAGAGCCTGCTGGACAAAGGTGTCATCATCAACGTACGTATCCCTCGGTGGCGATGGCCTAACTTTCTTTCCCTTTGTGACCTGGGCTTGGCAGCATCAGCAAGGACAGGAGCAGACATCATCCTGCCAGAAACTGAACAAGGGGGCAGGAGGGAAGGGACCACCACCCACCATTCTCCTTCTCCATGGCGCTGTATGAGTGTTAGATAAAGGAGCCCACACCAATACACGCGGGCGTGTTTCTGCAGAGAGCTGTGGGGGGAGGGGTGCTGAGCCCCTTACACAGGGTGTAAGTGTGGGTCCAAACTCCCGAAAGGTCAGCTGAGTCTTTTTCTTCCCCACAGCTCACTCATCCCTGCCCCGTTCAGCCCTGCTTTTTTGGGAGATCATATGTCATATGGAGGCAGATGGGGACTCCTTGCCCCAGTGCAACACAGAGACACTTTCATTTGTGAAATTCACACCTTGGCCCCCTTGTCATGGTGTATGGGAAAAGCTCTGTTATTGCAGCCCAAAAGGCTTCAATTGAATCTTGGCTCTGCCATATATTAACTCAGGACTATGACAAAACTGCTTAACTTTTCTGAACCTGTCTTCTCATCTGCAGAATACAAGTAATAGTTTCTGTCTGAAAGGGTTGTTTGGAAGAGTATATTTAAAAACGTATACTAATGTGACTAGCTCCGTGCCTGGCATGTACTGGGTTGTAGATTTCCATCTATAAGTTCTCTGCCTGGTTTGGACACAGCATTTTTGTTCTGCTGGCTTCCTGGCCTCTGCATTTTCCTGCTTAAACAGAGAGCAGGGTTGACAGGAAGGGCCATGAAGTGGTGGGCCCTGGGCTGAAATCTTCTTTGGTCAGGTATTCAGCCTTTCCAGAGCCCCTGTTCCTGCCACGGCTATGGCCTCAAGATAAGGATCAGGCAGTCCAGGGTCAGCCTGCTCTCTGGGTGTCGGCCTACAGCCCAGGCAGCACGGTGACCATTCATTGCTGATTGTCAGAGAAGAATGTGCTATCTTCTCCCCGGCTCATGCTGGCAGCCTGCCAGGTGGCATTAGTAACCCAGCCCTCCCCTAGGCCGTCTCCGCATTGGGCAGGTCTTTGTTGAGAGCCTGAGCTGCTGGACAGGAGGCTGTGAATGAAGCCAGCAGCACAGCCAGCAGATGCGTGAGCAACCGGCTCAACATCTGATGCCCCACTGCTGACCCGGTCTGGGGGAGGCAAGGCAGTGTTCCCATCTTCCCTCTGCTCCACAGGTGTCCCTCCCGAAGCTGCTCCTCTGCCAAGTTGCCTGTGTCAGATAGTGAAGGACCATGTGGGGTCCAGGGGTAGCGGTGCAGTGGGCATCTTTGCAGAGGCTGGGGAGGCTTTCATCAGCCCTCCCCTGGGGCATCAGGCAAAGTGTGATTTGGGTTTCCCGTTTCACGGCTGAGTGCTCCAATCTTCTGGAATGCTAAGGCTCCCTCCAGTTATCCCAAGGCATTTGTCCAGGGCACGACAGGCTGCTCATGGTGACCTGATTGCTTGGCAGTTGTCACAGCCCTTCCACACTCCTGTCTCAGGCTCTCTGTCATGGCACACGTGGGCGAGAGTGACTCAGTCTGGTCCCACCCGTGGTAACTGTGGAGCAGCCGGGATCAGAGCCCAGCCCCATGCATGTCCTCACCAAAGCCTTCCTTCTACCTCAGAGACACTGGTGGCTCCTTCTGAGCTGGTGCTGAGGGGCCTCTAGGGTTAAGACAGGAACTCTTGTCTAGAAATTGGAGGCCATAGGCCACACATGGAGAACTGGATGTGGGAGAACTGGGCACCCATTTGGTTCAAGAGCTCTGGCCTGAGTCTGTAGGTGTTCAGCCAAGCTCTCTGTCATCTGCGTAAGCTGGGAGCTGACCCGTCGACCCTGAGCCACTTAANATACATTTACTGAGTGTGTACTAAGTGCCAGCCACTGTGGACTTGAGATAGAAAGAAAATTTGTTCATATTCCTGCCCCACAGGAATTCAATCTTACAATCCTACTTTTCAAAGGAAAAAAAACATGAAAAATGCTAACAAAGTAGTTTTATTGTATAGGTTGAAAGTGCACGTGGGTCTTTCATGAATGTACCTAGCCACAAAGCCTAGCCCATTTTTGAAAGGATGACCCTGTAATTGCCTGTTGGAGAACATCGCTTAGCCTTTTGTTTGTCAAAGGCTAACCAGGATAATGGGTCCTGTAGATTTTAGAAACGGGAGGTGTCCCGCTGACTTAGAAAGGCCCCTGGTGATGTGTTTCTTCCTAGGGTGCAAACCTCGGCATTTCTGCCTGCCCCTTTTCTCCAGACATTGAGAATTCTGGTTTTCTCGGCCTGTCGGGCATCTGAGAAGAGCTTTCTCAGTAATCTTTTTGTGTCCACACCAGATCCAGAAGAAAGACCCACATCTTCCCTTTTTCTCATGCAGGCTTCAGAAGGAAAGAATTTCGTGGGAAGCTGGCTATTGCAATCACCGCCAACTTCATAAACAGAAACAGCACAGCGGAGGCCAAGGTGGAAGAGATTAGTGGTGTGGCTTTCATCTTCAACCAGAAATTTTTCCAGGACCTGAAGGAAGAAACAGGTGAGACCGTCACCTCTCTCCGAACCACGCCACTGTCTATGCTTCCTAAAGTGTCCCAAGGAGCAGCTGGCTGTCCTGGCTCTTGGGATGGGGAGATTCAGTCTGATTAAGTGGAAGCAGAGGTTTCCCCTTAGGATCATAGTGGGCAGGATTCCTCTGAGGACAAGAGTAATTCTTGAGGGAAAGCGTTCCATGTTGTACATGCATATAGATACACAGCCATTTATTCAGGAGACATTTACTGAATGCCCATTATGTGCTGGTGCTCAGTGTCATGGGATATAAAGTCGAAGCTGACACGGTCCCCACCCGAGTGGCTCCCTGTCCAGGGAGGGACACCCTCATTAACCATCTGCTAGTTGGTCTGCGCCAGAGGTCAGCGTGAGATTCAGGGAGCACTACGAGTGAGTGGGGAACCAGGAAGCTGTGAGTGGTCCCTGGAACAGCGTTGGTGCTTTTGTGCAGCGTGCCAGCTGCCCTTCCTCCTGAGGACTGTCCAGGGAGGCCTGGGGAGTGTGACACTCACCCAGGGGCATCAGTTGTCCCCCAGGCGTGGGCCTTGAGGAAAGAAAGGCTGGGGAGGTGATTTATTTAACCAATATGTATTGAATACCTACTGGGCGCCAGATGCTGTTCAAGGGTATGAGATAGAACAGTGGGCCAAATAAACATAACCTTACTCTTGGAGCTTATATTC